TTTCTTGTTGCGAACCCCTTGTTTGGGTTTGGGTCAACGGAAAGATTCCAGTCTGTCCGTCATCCGACTTTAGACCCAAATACGGCCGTAACAGTATTTTTATTAATGGTCCAGTCATTCTAGCCAAAAAGTGGGGGCAACCCGTCACAAATTGCAACAGAAATAATTTTGGAAAGGTATCTGGATTGACATACTAAAAATCTAGGAAAATCTAGGCTTCCGAAATATACCTAATTTGCCTATATTCAAAATAGCCGTTTTGCACATTTTTACAATATGGAAATATAACTATTTGAACATATCTTTAATTCAAGATGAGGTATTTTAAAAATTCATTATGCTATGGTACTGTTTTGAGTCGGAGAAGGTATGGGAGTGCCAAATGTGTAGATCGGGTAGATGAAAATTAGCATAAATCCAATATGGCCGTGATAATATAATTATTTAATGTAATTTCTCTTCCATGTGGCATAAATAATAAGTTTAAGATGCTAGAATACAATTTTAAACAGAATCGTACAGAACAGAAAAGATGTAAATAAATGGTTTCCTGGGTAGACGAATGCTTCATCTGCATAAATCTAACATGGCCGTCACATCTAAATGAAAAACTAGAGGAATGAAACACCTTGGTTGGATCTACAAATCTGCTATACTATATACATAATAGACCATTTAAACGTAAATTTTCAACTCTATAAACTATATTTTTGATTTAACACTGTATTAAATAGTTATAATTCTGTCCAAAAGTTTATTGTTTGATTAATGTAATTGCTAATCGTCATTGCTATCTTTATCAGATATCTGAACTACATTTGTGCACCCAGATCCTCGACATTGGCCACAAACAGCAGAACATCTAAGGTTGTGCTTTCTGCAGGTACATCTGAGACTGCGGCAGTCTGTGGAGCAGTTGCATCTCACTATCCTCAAGAGAAATTCAGGTGCTGCCTCCTTGTCAGTCATTACAGGAATGACAATCGCGTCCTGGGATTTGCTTCCTGGCGAGAAACCCGATTTGTGTCTTTATCACGATTTGATTGTTCATAAAGGTAACACACTTGTCCGAGAATAACAGCGCCCCTAGTTCAGCCCGACGCCTACCTGAGGCAAGGGTGAGTAGGAATACTGTTTTCCATGTCAAAAGTTTGAGTGGTTCTGATCGGAGAGGCTCAAAGGGCAGTCTGCTTTGAATGGCCAACACAATCGATAAGTTCCAATTGGTTGGTTCCCTTGTTCGGGGTCTAGACCTCTAATTAAACAGTAAACAGTCTCCTAATGATAGGACAACTGGCTAGCCTCGTCCCCGGAGAATCAAAATTGTGGGTGACAAGGCTGACCTATAGCCAACAATCGACAAAAGTCCATTTCTTTCAAACGATGGACGAAAAGTCAGCTGTCTGGCCAACAAAGGGATGGCATGGATCTCCCTTCCACTACACCAATCAGTGTACGCACGTCATTTCGAGGCGTAGGCTGTGTTGGTGGGGTCCCTGTTCGCCCTGGCCAGGACGTTGTTAGGCCACTCAGATAAACCTGAGTGAGTCAACTGAGAGCCTTGATGCGTGGTACACCACTGGACTCAAAGGCAGTGCGCAGTCCCGTTGGAAGGTGATGTACGGCTACCTCCACATTGTATTCCAGGCGTCAAAGAAGAATTTGCTTCGCTAGGACTGACAACGATGGGGAACTGGTCCCCCCACCTTGTAGCTATAGGAGACCACCACTGTGTTGTCCCTGCGAAGCAAGACTCTGTGGTCTCGAACTATGGGTAGAAAGTGAAGTAGTGCTAAGCGCACTTCTTTTAGTTCGAGCTAGTTGATATGGCAGTCCTGAATCTAATGCAGGGTCCATATTTTCCATTGGGCTTGTTCGTCCAATTGGTGTGCTCCCCAACATGTGAGGGAAGCATTCATTTCCAGAGTCGTAGCCGTGGCGAGTGGGTCCAAGGGGACCCCCCTGCCTGAGGTTGGCAATTGCTCACCTCTCCAGTTCCTGTAAGAGAGCCCGGTGTCGCAACAAAAGTGCACTGTAACAGGCGGCTGCCTAACACGATCTGGGGGAACTACCCTGTGAACCGCTGACATCATTCCGATGATCCTCATTAGTTCTCGGAGGGACACAGAGGGAACGCTGACTAGGCATTTAGCTAGGTCATTTAGGCAACAGGCCTGTGGCAACTGTACCAAGCGCACATCCGTGTCGAACTCCCTGGCCAGAAACTCCAACTGTTGTGTTTGCTGAAGGTGGGACTTGCTCGATTTACTAGGAAGCACAACTGGTCTAGAAAATCTGGTGTTAGTCTTACTGTTTGACTAACCACCCCTTGTTTCCACACTCTGGTGAATACGTATGGAGCCATGGAAAACCTGAAGGGGAGCACCCCGCGCTCGACTACTTGGCCCAACTGGGCGAATCAAGGGAATTGCTGACTCACTGAGTGTATTGGTATATGTGGGTAAGTATCTCTCAAATCAAGCGAGGTTAACCAGTAGACACAGAGCATGGAGAATAATATGGTGCTCGGCGTTTCCAGGAAGCTCATACTGATTTAGTCTGCTTAAGTCCAGAACAGAGCACAGCCACCTTTAGTCTCAGTTGTAGTCTTTGGAACCACGATTACATGCGAGTAGAAGCCAGCATCTAACGCTGGGTCCCCTATCATGTGCATAGCATTCTTTGTAAGCAAACTATCTACCTCCTGTTGGATTGCTCCCGTGTAGTGTCCCACCAATGGCTGTGTCTGCTGGTCTAGGAGGCTTGTGCGTTCTGCCATTGAGATTTCAGAGTGCTGGCGGCACAAAACTATTTGTTCCAGTGGGCTAGCCACAACTAGAAGGTTGACGGTCGCCACTCTGCTCTCACTGCGTGGATTGTTTCCGACTAACCGGTCAAAATATTCCATGGACGTGGCCACCCCCTTTGCCCATCTCACCGAACCAAAAAAAAATCATGGTACCGGGGTCGGGGAGGAACCAAAGGATCCGATTTGACTCCAGACTTTGCTGGCTCATGTCTCAAACATCGTTCGATCGGGTAGCACTTGATCCAGCGAAAAAGGTTCAGCATAAAATTAACCTATTCTAAGGACTTAGGCCTCTATCCCGTGGTGGACCAATGTCCGCCCATCAACACGTCTGTGCATTCCCCCCTACGTCCAGCACCCGGCGGAATCCAAAGCAATACCAAATGCAGGACTCTGGATCCTGGAAGTGACATTCCTACCGAAAGTGTCTGTTTCAGGATCGGGGGTGAACATCCGGTCACTAGGATCGATGTTACCCCTTCACCCCAAGGCGTGGCTCACAGAGGCATTACGTGGTACAGACTCTGAGGGGCCGCCCAAGGCTGCACATTTAAATGATACTATTTTGACGGTCATATTGGATTTATGCAAATGGTTGTTATTCAATCAAATGTTTCACAATCACATACATTCACACACACCAAACCATATTGCTTGAATATCTAAATCAAAGAAAGCTTAGAAAGAACTCCCATGTGCTGAGAGTATTGGAGACACATTAAATATAATTCAAAATTACTTGTCAGAGATAGTGATAGTGACGGAAAAACCGAAAACTAATAATGCAAATCAGAAAATTAATATGAACAGATTTTAATGGAAAACTAATGAGGTCTGCGCAATATAACAGACCATCTATGTACCAAGTTTTATTGAAATGTGATTGGAACCAAAAAAAAAATTATAAATTATTATGCTTATTAGGGAATTAATATAAACAGATTTTAACCCCAAACTAATCAGGTTTGTACCCTGTCCTAGAGCATCTTTGCACTAAGTTTCATTAAAATGGAATAATTAGTACTTTAGATATCAGTGTGATAGCTTAAAAGTGGTTAATTATGTAAATTAGTAATTAATATGTACAGATTTTAACCCACAATTATCCAGGTCTGTCTATTCTCCTACAGCATCCATGTACAAAGCTTCATTGAAATGTGATTAGTACTTGAGAAATCAGTGTGAAAGCTGAAAATTAATTAATATACACGATTATTTACCCTAAAACTAATCAGGTCTCTGGATATTCCTAAAGGATCTATGTACCAAGTTTCATTGCAATGTGATAATTAGTACTTCAGATATCTGTGGAAAAGCTGAAAATTAACTAATTATGCAAATTAGGTAATTAATATGCACACATATTTATCCCAAAACAATCAATCTCTGCATTGTCCTTGAGTATTTATGAACCAAGTTTTATTGAAATGTAATGCTTACTACTGTAAAGGGGGTAATTATTCACTGGGTTTTAATTTGGCTTATTTCGCTGACTGGAAAATGCGCTAAATTAAAACCCAGTGAATATGTAAAATTTAGTATAGAACACATTATCTAAATAACGAAACCGTGAATTTAAAACCCGTAGGTAATTAATATGCATGAAATTTTACCAAAACCTAATCAAATCTGCGCATTAGCCCAGAGCATCTATGCACCAAGTTTTATCAAAAACTGATGTATGGTTCTTTAGATATCAGTGGAACAGACGGACACACATACACATACAGATACAGATACAGACACACTAACCGCAAAGACTCCCATTTTGTGCTTTGCACAAGTGAGTCAAAAATGTCATCTAGAATTAAAGCTATGTCCTAATAATTATATTTTCCATGTTGCAAAAATGCACCAAACGGCCATTTTGAATGTTTGCAAATTAGGTATATTTCAGAAGCCTAGATTTTCTTAGACTTTTAGTATGTCAATCTAGGCACCTCCCCGGAATGTATTGTAAAGAAATTATTTCTGTTGCAATTTGTGATGGGTCAAACCATAAATTGACTGGACTATAACAGTAAATAATTCCTTTAATATTTTGCATGATTTAATGAATTGCCTATGAGTATCGTACAAGCACAGAGGGATTAGGCAGAAAAACTTTTGAGAAAAACAGGATACATCAGCAGATAATATTGTAAAAATCCACTTTATTGAAACAAAATCTCAACAACATTGGGAATATACTGAGACATTACTTCCAGTATTTCACTTTGTACATGCTGTAACAAACATTTAATGCGAAAACAATCATTGGATACTACACATGATTGTCTGTAAGTGGTTTGTTATAACCCCCACAGCAAAATGAAATCCAGTGAGATATCCTGTGGTAAATCATGCAATGTACGCACAATCTTCTGATCATTTGTCTTTCGACAGAGCCATGCTTGAAGTGCCATCTACTATCAATTAAAATGAAAAATACTATAAACCCGGTAGAAAAAAAACGTGCATTAAAATTGGTATGTTTGTTAATGCCAGTCAAATGCTAAGATGTGTCATAGTGAGATTATATCAGATTGAAAATCTCAATAATACCATTGCGTAAATCATGCATCAAATGTCAGTACATCTACCCTAGATTCTGCTCAAATCCAAATGCAGAATATTCAAACAATTTCCACTACATAGTTATTACAAAACACTGTGTAATCTTTCCCAGTTGATTAAGATACATTGTAAACAATATTGTCACATGACATGTTATTAATTTTTTCTAATTGTATCATTCGTATTAGGTCTCGCTGTCATCACGACGTGCCCTTTGGCGGTGGTCTGTAGTGATTTCGACATCTTTCGTAAAAAACCTGTGAGATGAGAAAGCAGAGAGGTTATATTATTATAGTGTCCCATCCAGTATGTGTGATCCATGCCTATTTTGGGGGAGATTTCCCCCACTATTTTCTGATGTGCTTAATATTTGGTGGGGGAATAACTACATAATATACTGTAGAATACTTTATTTTCGCTTGGAATTTATTTTCGCCATTTTCGCTGAAGGGATTATTCGGTGAAAATAAAATCCAGTGAATATACTTTTTTTCCTATATTTCACATTAAACTCATCAAAAATCAGTGAAAATAAATTCCATACAAAACGCCCAAAAAGCCATTTCAGCGAAAATTAATTCCAGCGAAAATAAAGTATTCCACAGTACATAATATAAGCAGTCAAATTGCATTGTTTAACACAAAGATTTTAGAAAACTCATTTGAGATGTGAACAACCATTCAAACTGGTTGCCAGATGATGATTTTATTTGGATGTTGAGTTGAATTGTTTTAATTGGGAATTACAAAAATAGCACAATTAAGAATTGTGGCCATGTAGTATTAAATTGTCTTATAGAAATTACCATATTTGCTCTATTAGAAAAAAAACAAAAATCTGACAAAAAAATTATTTTTTATATTATATTTACACCAACTTTTTAGCAGGTTAATTACACTTGGAATGTACTGTACATGTATATTATCCCATAAATCTATCTTGTAACACCAATGTAAGGTACATGGGGCTGGCAGGATGAGGACTACAGTACAGTTCCAGTGTATCTTAACTCCTGCACTCAACCGGCTTTGTCTTTTCATAAAACTTCAATGTTGTCAACAAATTTAACTTTATTTTTTTGTAGTACCGGGTATTTACCTATTTTACCAATATGAAACATATTTAGACAGATTGATTTTCACAATGTAGATATTTTGGGGGCGAAACTGAGAGGAGCACCACTGTACAATGTATTTCTATGGGCTCTGCGCGAACTGCTGTAGAACGCCAATGAAAACAAATAAAGTCAAGGAAACAGCACAAGCTCAACTATATTACAATCTTGAACAACCAAATTTATATATATATTGCAGGGAGTAATCTACTATAAAATACTTTATTTTAGCTGGAATTAATTTTCGCTGAAAAGACTTTTTGTGTGTTTTGTATGAAATTTATTTTCACTGATTTTTGACAAGTTGAATGTAAAATATAGAAAAAAAGTTTTTTTGATTTTATTTTCACTGAATCATTCCTTCGGAGAAAATAGCGAAAATTAATTCCAAGCAAAAATAAAATATTTTACAGTAGTAAAGTGTTCAGGAGAGTCTCTACAACAAGCTCGAAGTAAATTTTTTTTTTGAGTTTTCATCGGTTGTGGTTGCCAGGTGATGAAAGTGCCCGGATGTTCATTCCTGAGAATATGATGGCTTTTAATGCAAACTAAGCTGGCTGAACCTCAAGTAATATTCAGACTGTAATGTTAGTGTTTATAAATTGTACAAAAATAGATTGTTTTCAGGAATGGTGTGTCTCTATGATTTTGAATAAGCTGAATTTCAGTAGTACTACAATCACAGTCTATTTTTATACTGCCCTCACAGTTGAGATGAGATGAAGTAAAGATTGCAATATCAAGTTCATCCCTAATAATTATTACCTTCAAACTTCTATCTTTGACGACTTCTTCAATGTTAAGTTCACTCTGCATCATTCGGAGCTATAAACAAAAACACTACCATTAGTATTGCTGAGAATGAATATAAATATTTGCCACTAACAGAACATATATGTAATAATAACAGAACTCCACAACCTCCCCCTAGCTTTCGTTGTGTATGGAAGTTATTTTCACGAGTGATGCAGTGTATCCTGCGGCCGTACTTTCACGAAAGTACAGCAGAATACACCGCATCTCAAGCGATCAAATTGACTACATGTACATGTAGGCTGTTGAAAATGTGTATTTTTTCTAAATTTTTCATATTGTCAATTGACCATTTGTGAAACTCTGCTACACCTGGTGTATATATATATATATATATATATATATGTGTGTGTGATTGCATAACCAATGCATACATGTAGGCTCATTCAAAACTGGTTCATGACACAACATTGCCTGTGATATTGGGTTGTAGTATGTTACAAGTGGTCTTTGTTGTTTTGAGTTGTGAATTGACGGGTCAAAATAACATGTTTGAAATGGGGCAATACCACAGGGTTGTCATGTAATAACCTCTATTATTCATACACAGTTTCACAATCCTTTTGTACTGTGGGAAAATTTTTTATCATTTCAGAGCAAATGCATTATTTTCTTTGGAACTACATTCAAATGCCTCACTAGATGTGTATACTGAAAATGTACTGTGAATGAAACGTAAAACAGGCACACTCTTGGACAAAGTTTATGGGACACTTCACACGTGAACAGCTCCGCTCTGTCAACTTTGATGACATCGGAGCTTAAAAACATTTGTACTGTACGATTAATGAGGCTGCACATCCGTGTATGATAACACACGATAATGAAACCTACAAGATATCTACTGGGGTAAAACAGTAATTACAGTGCATACCTTGTGTTGTTCATTTCTTAGTTTCTTTAATAAATCTAAGTTGTTAGGATCCTTTGTTTTAACATCCCTATATTGATTAACTGAACTTGAGACTTCTGTAATGCATTTCTTTATCGCTATCTCTCGTGAATCATAAGAGTTCATCAGCTGAAAAGTGAATACGTACACCAATAAATATTACAGTAAAAACAAAAATTCAACCACATAATTATTCTGCAAATTTTAAGAGTCTATTTTCTTATGAAATTTTGGTCAATCACACAACTGTGCTTTATCCACTTTATCCACTCCATCTTGAATTGTTCTTGGGCATATGGATCAGGACTAATTTAGGCTTTAAGGTAGCGAGAGGGGAAAAACTAGAAAAAAAAACTTTTTTCTAAAAATCCCGGATTATGCAACCTTATATTGTGTACTTTCTTTATCTTTGGTCCGAATTTACAGTGCGCGATGCATTTGTTGAGTAATTTCAATTTATTCCCGGAAACTTAGTTGTAGGTGAACATGTCCTTCCTGCATTTACATATCATGTTGAGTGACGGACTGAAGACAAAGGATTTAATTTGCATACTAATTTGTTGACCATCCAGCTTTATTATATCCT